ACTAGAAACCGATAAAAAGTTACTAGCACCTGCCAAGTTTTCACCTTTCAATTCACTTACATCTGTCAAAGATTCTTCTTCGCTAGTGATTCGAATTAAATTGTCCTCTCTGTGTTCTTTTTCTCGTTTCTTCTCGATCTTTCTCATCAAGTATTTACTGACTGTACTAGAAGCCCTCTGCATTTCTGCTACGAGTTGGGCGTCTTTTTCCGACCTGCCAGACGAATCCCCGGTAGACTCATCGATGTATTTTATATCGAGAGATTCACCTAAACTCACCTTCTCCATACTTTGTGAATCTGAGGAACTTTTAGTGTCAATTTTACCCAGATCTGGTGGCTTTGGAGAAGTGCGCTGCTCAAAAAAATCGTTAGACTTTTGTATTACTTCTATGTTTTCAAGTTTTTTGTGCGATTCGTCTACTGAAATCCATACGTCCAAGCTGGTTCCTTCCAGAATGATTTTATCATCTGCGTCGGCCTGAGGTGGAATTTCGTGAACATCTGCCGTGACAGTTTCTTGTACTGCATCTGTTTCTGGGGAAGTTTCCTCTAGACATTCCTTTTCTTGCATATTCCGTATCGCTTCAGGCTTGAAATCAAATTCTCCCCCTGAAAGCGGCTTGTCGAGGTTATCAAGATCCAAACTCTTACCCAAACGTTGTACAATTCTAGTACTGTCTTCAGGAACATTGAGATCCAAGCTTTTGGTGAGTTTCTCGCCCATTTTTTTATCGAGCTTCTTGGGTGATTTCGTGATTATTATTGCTTCTTCAAGTGAGACAGTCGGTTCTATTGTATTAATGCTGATTTCCAATTTACCATGACGTTCTCTCACCATCTCCTCTACCTGAGGAAAGACTGGTAGTACATCCTTAACGGGACTCTTGAGAGTTTTCGTTTGCTTTATGGCAATCTCATAGAGCATTTGTTGTTTTTCTTTCCTTTTAGCGATCGTATCGGGATCGCTATCTTCTTGAGACTTTGTTCTTTCCTTACTGCCCATCTTTTTCAATTCTAGTTTTTCCAGCGACTTTGCCTTTTCTTTGGGGGCAGTTTTCTTGGTAATTTCTGTCTCTTGGCTTTTAGCTCTCTTCACTTCAGGAAGAGCTGGAGTTTTCTCAATTGGGAGGGATTTTTGACTGGGAAGTACTTCAGAAGATTTTTGTGAAAAAGTTTTAGGTCCTTTGGAAGATTCCAACTTCGATGGAATTTTTGGTTTAGATGCAGTAGGTCTTGGTAGCTGCTTTTCAGTTTCTTTAGAAATCTGCGGCTTTACTGGGGCCCTGGATTTCGTTGTCCTGTAACTAGACTGCTTCGGTGGTAGAGTAGTTCTACTGATCTTCTTTGACTTTGAGCTGCTCACATCTGGCACTATTTGATCCCGCTCTTTCTCTTTTTTGATCGCTCCTTCCTTCACTCTTGTATCATCTTTTGCTGAATCTTTGCCTTTCACAGAAACTTTGGTGGACTCGTCATCGGTTGTTCTTGGGGTGGAGGGTACTTTTTGGGCGAGTCGATTTTTCAAAACATTTTCAAGAACATTTTTTCTGCCATCGTCCGTGTCAGATCTCTCCTCTGTTGACTTATCACTTATCAAATAGTTATCCAACCCGCTATCTTTGTCTGTCAAATGTTGGTCTTCTTCCGCCAACGTGTCATCTTTGCTCGAAAAAGCATTCAAAGCTGGTAACTTACTTACAGCTATAACAGGAGCGTCCAAACTTTTTGCCCTTCTTCCTATGCTGGGCGAATCCAGAGCTTGCTGTTTTTGCAACAGCGTGAATGCTGATCCTTCAGACAGATTCAAGCGAGCGTGTGCGAATAGAAGAGGGCTGTGTCCTCTTTTTCTCAGAGAAGGAGAGGGAATTTCGGTAATCGTAGTTTTTGATGGCACCTTCAAATCTTTCAAGTCATTTTCAATCTCAGCCTGTAGCAGCTGCTTCTCTTTCGCCCTTTCATCGTCGATAGTTGTTATTTCCTTGTCTGTAGAACACTCTTCCTTGAGGGTCTCGTCCAGCGATTTATCACCGTCTTCCTTATCGTGTTCGTGGACAGTTTTCAAAGGTTCTTGCACACAATCGATAAACACTGGTTGCAAATCGGTAGTTTTCACGTTGAATTCGTCCTCTGAACTAGGAATCGAAAACGACCTTTCAGAGATTCTTCTAAGTTCCGTGGTTGTTAGTTCCAGATTGTTTTCTTGTTTGTCAGTTTTCTTTCTAGAAGTTGGTGGGGATCCTTCTACTTCAGTCGAGGACATAGTATATTGCAAATATTTCCTCTCAGACTCGAATTTGAGGATCGATTCCATTTCTTTACGCATTTGCGGAGGGGAAAATTCAATTCTAGTCGGAGTTGCTTCAGCACTACCGAATACATCATCAGAATCTAGGGATTCGTCATCAGAACTGAAGGAAGTTATTCTTACTTTGGTCTTATTTGTTTTCCCACCCTTTTTCCCAGGCTGCATTCTAGGTTTAATAACCCTCTTTGGTTTGATGTCAGTTTTTATTTTGATTTTCGGTTTGGTTTCTACGTCCTTTATCTCTTCCACTTTTTGAACAGCTTTATCTTCCGTTTTTATATCTCTTTTCGCCAATCTTTCATTCTGAATATTCAACAACTTCTGAATGGGTTTAATGCTTTCTGTTTTAGAACTGGTAGGCGAATCGCTTTCGATTTGACTCAATTTAGAATTCAAGGCCTCCAGCAATACAGGATCGATGTGGGTTATATCCCTTTTAGGACTTGATAAATGTTGGATAGGTACTACACTTTTATCTACTTCAAGGGTAACTGGATCGACTTTGGATAGGTCTATGTTTTGAGTGAAGAGAAATGAAGTTTCTGGGGGTTCGAGCAGTGATTTGGTTTTATTGGTATCCTCTTTTGGAGAAAGTTCTTTCACTTCCATTACCACTTTCTTAGGAGGCTCAGGCATATCGTATTGTTTTACTTCTTCATTTTTAGATATTCCATTCATTATATGACGTTTATGCAACACGTAGGAAATATCTTCATCTTTAGGAGGCAAATTAACGAAATCCGATTGAGCTTTGACGCCCAATATCTCGAACTGGCTCTTCGGTACCTCGAATTTGGTTTTTAGCCCTTCGGCGTCTCTTTTCAGCACGTCAAAATGGCCGAATTCGGCCGAAGGCATCTCAAAGTGTGTTCCCTTGTATTTCATTATAGGAGGAGCACTTGGTATTTGTTTATAAAAGAAGTCGTCATCACTGGACTCTGCAGGAGTCAAGTCTATTGATTTCTGATGCATCAGCAGCAGACGCTTAGAGCTGGAACTCAACCGCTGTCTAGCTAGTGAGTTAGGGTCGGACTTCGTGCGTTCGATAGGTTGATGCAAGGGCAAGTCGTGTACAATTCTTGGCTCTATTTCCATGAACACGTCGCGGTAACTTTTCTTATCGGACCTCTTGACTTTCTCGTCTATGTTCGGCACCACGCCGAAACTGTGATCCGGACAAACGTCTGAATCGAGACTCTCTTGCAGCGACTGAATTTTATCATCGTCAAAGCTAAATATGATGCTTTCCGATTCTGTGGATCTCTCCGTGAGAGGTGGCTGTGAAGACCACGTCTGTGCCGTTGAGGGGGTACATGCTGTTAGGTTTTCCTGCCAATCGTGCGATATTTTGTACGGTTCGTTATCGACTGTGTGAGATCTGTGGTGATGCGAAGACTTCTGCGTCCTCGGCACCGTGTTTTGTTCCAAGTTCGCCAAAAGTCGGTTGATCTTCATGTTTTGTTCCGTTTCAACGTTCTGCAAACTGATCGATTGTACGTGCGTGAAGTTACGGTTCATCTCGATATTATCGAGATTCTGTATTTTGTGAATTCCGTAGTTTCTCTCGAAACTGATTTTTCTGTCATAATCATGTTTGTGATTCTTATACTTAGTATCATCTGAAAATCTCGACGGAGCGTCAAAATACTCGCTTTTAGATTCGAGACTAGAAGTCCTCGATTCTGAATATCCATTCCTCGCGTCAACGTTATCAGAACTTTTATTTCTGCGGATCACTTTCTTGGTGTCCGCGTCAGATTTCGATTCTAGACTGGACGTACGCGAACCGAAACTTGGATCTCTCTGGGATTTTTTTAGACTTTCTCTGCTGGATTTAGAAGTTTTCGACTCGTAGTAATCGCTCTTGGATTCCAAGCTGGACGTCCTAGAACCCTGCTTGAACTGTTTGTAGTAACTTCCGTCCGATTTCCTGGGAATAATTTCCCTCGGGAAATCCCTAGGATCTTCCATCAAGAATATATCCTGGTGAACATCGGAACTGCTCTTACACTTATGCCTTTTATCTTGCTCTGATTCGCTATCTGAGGGAAGATAATTTCCGGAATCCAAACTGCAACTCCTAATACTAAACGGCTTAGGTTTCCTATATTTATATTCGCCTGACGTGCTATAGTCGTCGTCGGACTTCTCTATGAGCTCATAACTATCGTGGGAGAGATCGTCTTGGGAATCACGAAGGTCATAGTTACCGGGGTCTTCTACAGACTCCTGGGAATAGGTAGTCGTTCCAGGATAACTACTCGAGTACACTTTTTCATTGGGCATCATAATATCCTGATGAATTTCTAAGCTACTGTCGCGCGAGCTGGCGCTAAATATAGGGTGTTCGTCGTAACGCGTTACGGGGGATTCTAACTTTCTTTCCTCGAAGCTTATGACCGCCTTTTCGACAGGTCTCGGGGGGTGCGCTCTACGTTTAGCTTGCCCCGTTTCCTCGAAACTAAAGTCGTAAAGATCTTTACAACTAGCGCTACGCCGCCAAACGTGGCGTTTGGGCAGCGTGGTAATGGATTTGTAGGTATATTCAGGGGCGGGTTCGAGTTCTAATCCTACGTCATTTTGCGACTGCGTCTGTGAGGGAAAGTTGTTAGCAAAGGAGGAGGTTTGATCAAGGCTGCCCTCCGATTTATGACTAGAGGGCATCTGGGTAATAATGTGGGTGCGAGTGGTACCTGTATCTGCCCTGTGAACAGCTGCGCGGACGGCGAGCGGCGAACTGGTGATAGTGGGCTTCGACTTCTCGTACTGCCCCATATGGAGTGGGCTCGTGGTCGCAGAAGTCTCTGGAGACGGTGATTGCGTCTTCTGAGGAGGAGGCGACGGCAAGTTCGTCGTCCGAGATGGTGGCAGCGTGGTAGGCCTGGTGTCGGGGACCGAGTTCCAGGACGTAGCTGTGACGAGGTGGCGAGAGGCTGACCTCATCGTCGGAGAATCCGGGGATACCACATGAACGCCCATCGAACCCAGAGACGCCGAGAGTTTGGACGCTTCCACTGTGAGTAAACAAAAATGACTCGCCCTCTCTAAAAACGTTCACCAGGGGATTTAGGGAGCTCAATTATAGGTAGGAAGATATGAACTGATCTCTATAGAATGTCAAGAGATCTGTGTAAATAAATGTTATTAAATCATATATTCTGAATGTGGTACATTCAAGAGGTTCACCTACTTTATTACTCCCTAGTAGCTAGATATCAATTAAACCACACCAGAAGTGACATAGTCTTTACTTACAGACTGATTATTGGTCTCTTACCTAATGAAATTCAATGAACCTATCGAAACTGAATTTTATATATATTATATTCAACGGCAATTCTTGGACTTCTTTGATATCAGAAAGTCGATTTTCAAAAAACTAAACAATATTAAATGAAACATCAGTCCTACAAATCATGTTGTTTTCTTCTTTTGCTGATATAAATCCAAATAAGTGCTTTAACAATTTTCCAGAATTCTCTTTTACCAAATTTAAAGAATTATTTCAAAATATCATCCAGAAGATAACGTTGTAAATAAAAAACAGGTTGAATTATTTATTAAAATTACGTCTAAAATATAACGTTATTGAAGTTTAGGAAAAAATGTCTACTGATGATGGCGCTAGTGTGTTCAACAAATGTAGACATCAATCGGTGAACCACTGTTAGGGTATATGGAACACAGAATATAGGTTATGCTTATTGTTTAAGAATTTTCTATGTTTTAAATTTGTAGGAGTAATGCTTTTAGAGTAATTATCACAAACATAAGAAATTTACGAATAGATAAAATCTAGCGGGAAGTACAAGAAATCATAACGATTTGTAAGAACAGTAAACGACTTGTTTCTAATATTTCAAACAGACATATCTGAATGATGAACTTTTATATCTCAAGATATGGAAGGTTCCACAGTAAATAACGATTACGTCATAAAAAGTAAAACCAGATATAAACGTTCTATTCCAAATAGAACACAACGAACTATAGAGTTTCAATCGCCCATGAAAATGATCCTCCTCGTGTTCCAGTTTTGTTGAAAAAAATAATTCATCACAATTCAATCTCTCTTTTCCAGGTGTCCAGTATCCAGGCATAGCTGAGGAACTTGAGCCCGTGAAAGTTGTGAGGGTCACACTATTGGACCTGTCAAAGGCCTTTGACTGTGTTTCCCACAGCATTTTACTCGAAAAACTGTCATATTATGGTGTAAGAGGTACTTCTTTGGGTTACCTGAATAATCGTTCCCAGAGAATTTTTTATAACAATACATTTTCTGAAAACAATTGAGCTCCCCGAAAAAATGTCCTTGAAAAAAAGCACCGTTCATAAAAATTATGCCAACCAGGATTTTTTATCATGCAAATAAACAAATAGAAAAAAGGCGGGTCCTTGGGGTACATACCGCTCAGGTTGCTATCGGCAAGAGGCAACAGAGGATGTGCGGAAATGCTGTTCCCGACGGTTGTCGAATGCATGTTGGAAGCGCTTGAATGAGCACTAGAATGTCTGAACGAATGTGACCTGCGGTAAGAGAAAGAGGAATCAAATTTACATTCTACACACTTAACAGTTAGTATCTCTAAAATAACTAAGTTAAGCCTTTTTGTGAAACTTTATGGAGCACAGTGAAGAGCTTCGTCGTTTCTATGTCCGACTCATTCAATTCGAATTGAAACAGATAATATTTCAGTAAATATATACACCGATCATAGACCATGCAGTGCTACGTATTCGTGTACAGTGTCGTTTTTGTAAGCCGATAACCACACGTTCTTGACAGAAGATAAAAAATTAAAGAAACAGATCGAGACTTTCCTCCTTCCCTTATCCGTTTCATAGCAGCCCGTCGGGCAACAGCATTTTCCTTTGCAAATGCTACAAACAACCATGCTCCACACTTCACAAATCAGCTACTTGTTATTTTATGATACAGGGTTCTTACTGGGGGAGGGGGTAACGAGAGTCCATTTTCTCAATTAAGCAATGCAAAACTATTTACTCGATATTCATCAACTTTTTAGCTACAATCATCAACTTGAAGCAGTATGTGTAAGAGTAAATGTCGGATGTGATCAATGTAAATGGTGGTGTAAGAGTAGAACACGAGAAAAAAACATGCAACAATTCTGTTCAACTTACCTTTGGAATGTTTGCCGTTTTACATAATTATCTCTTACGAATTCTACGATTTGTTTCTGGGTTTTTCCACTATACCTGCAAAAAAAAGCATGAAGATAAATGAAAATGTGTTTTGAAACAGATCAATTTTGTACTCTTGTTGACTGGGTTTTCTTATCACCCCATAGATGGCGAGAACCACAAATCTGTTACCTGTATAAGACAAACAAAGATGACATATTTCAGAGGCGTGCTGTTCTGTTTACTTATGTTCCGAGTTTCGAGACATTCTGTGGCATATGACATTTTGTGTATCTAACCTATCTTCCTCTATATAAATAAATAACAAAACAACTGTTGTTTATGTGGCTTGTGGAGATGGTATTGAACTATGATTTATATTTTGCCTTAAATTTTGATTTATGAAGATAATTTTCCTTTTTTGAAGTAGAATATCTAGGTACATATAAATTATTTCAACTTGATATAGGCGCTGTTGCCAATATGTGAATTAGAAACAAATCCCTTTAAAAATTAAAACCCAACATTTGAAACATCAATTTGAATACTTTTCGAAGTGAATTTGAAAAACTCATGAATTAAACTCAACTTTATTTTGTTCAAACTTGCATTTGCTGTAATAACCCAAATTGAGGAACATTCCCCATTTCATTGTAATTTTTCGGCTTTTCATTTTAATTTTATTGATTCTTTCAGGGATTTCAAATCATTTCATATCAAATTAGACAATGGAAGTGAGAACTGATGAAATATTTCGGTAGTTATTACATCTTTTTTATGCACGTGACTTCTAAAAGATTAGATGGGAATTTCCATGAGATATTGTCAACCACAATTCTTCTCCACCCAATTTTTGTGGGAGATGGAGCAAATAATACTCTCCTCCCCTCTCCTTGGGTCAATACCATCATCAGTCTTTAAAGGATCAACTAATGGTTCCTAACTGACTGGCAGCACTGGCAAAAAATTGCCAACAGTAGGTCCGTTGCAGCTAACGATGGATCATTGCCGGCTATAATGTCGGCCGTGTGGGACAGGGGCTAGACTGGCCAGTCTAGGCCCTGTGGGACACGGGCTAGACTGGCCAGTGAAGGACCTAAAGGTCTATTGTAGGCAAACCTTGCATCGCCGATACAGTGCTGTTGAAGTAAGTTTTGCTGGAAAGAGTTGAAACCTATTTTTTTCTGAAAATGGTACTCATTTTCATTGTTTTGTAACGTAAAAAACGTTACTATCCAACCATATATTTAATAAGGATAAAATACTAACAGTTCTCCATCAGATATAATTCCTGTTCAAAGGGGTATTGAAAAACCAGAAATTTTATGAAGTAAACGCTTACCTGAAAGAACTTCCTCTTGACAAAACCCGTGTTTTGTGCCTTGAAACATTTTTCACAGATGAACACCTGAAGAACCCGTGATTTTCCACGCACTTTTTCCAGAAATTTTTACACTCGTTTCTCCCTTCGAAGAAAAATTCTACTGTATCCTTGTAATAACCCTAAAATTGGAGCAATACAAATTGAGAGTTTCGGTGATAGTTTCGTACTTACGTATCCTTCTGGATGCAATTTTATAAGGAATCGTTTTCTTTTGAACGATATTTTCCTAATTTTCGCCCAGGAGAAGGTGTTGATTTTGGTATAGTTTTGGAATACTATTATACCCATGTGCGCGACAGCGAGATTCAAACACACGTTTTCGTGATCTTTCGCAGGATGCATTTTTATACCATACAGTTCGCATCGTCGAGCTGTTTCAAGGAGATTTAGGTCTGCCTCGGCTGGAGACTGTCCCCTACAAAAAAGTAATTAATAATTTCAAAAGAATACTTGATAACAATGAAAATTCAAAGAACTTACGAATGCTTTTTATGGTTCTCCATAATCTTCCTTTCCATCTCAGGGTCCTGATTCGGCACAAATTTATAACTGGACAAATACGTGTGGTCGGGGTAGTCTTCTGGAACGAAATCTCCGCATTCCGCTTGCACAATATAGCTCGCCATCAACGCAGATGTATTTTCATTGCACTGCATATAACCTTGTGAAAGGTCTCTTTTGACTTGCAGACAAAATAAGTAACGGGTATACTCTTCCTCCAACTGGCCGGGATCGGGCGTGTAGAATTTTACGCAGAAATAGAGTAGTGGGTCTACCAGCGAGAGGCCAAGCTGCCGAGATATGGGTTTTTGGAGGTCTAGCCAATACTGGAAAAAAATGTTTAGAGATTTAGCGTGAAAAACT